TGATGATGATGATGATGATGATGGTGTCGCGGTGATGATGTGGTTGATGATGATGCTGTTTACGATGATGGTGATGATGATGATGATGGTGTCCCGATGATGGTGATAATGATGATGATGACGATCATGGTGTCCCGATGTTGATGATGAGGATGATGATGATGAGGTGATGATGACTTTGATGATGGTGGCCCAATGATGGTGATGATGCTGATGTTGATGATGATGATGATGGTGTCCCGATGATGTTGATGATGCTGATGTTGATGATGATGGCGACGATGATGATGGTGTCCCGATGATGATGATGATGCTAATGATGATGATTATGATGGTGTCTGGATGATGATGATGTTGATGATGTTGTTCATGATCATGATGATGAGATGATGATGATGCTGATGATGGTGGTGTTCCGATGATGATGATGGTGCCACGATGATGATGACGATGTTGATGATGATGGTGACGATGATGGTGTCCCGATGATGATGATGATGATGATGGTGATGGTGATGCTGATGATGTTGAAGATGATGTTGATGACATTGATGACGATGATGTTGATGATGATGACGTTGATTGTGATATCGATTGTGATATCGATAGTGAGATCGATAGTTAGACCGAATGTGAGATCGATTGTGAGATCGATAGTGAGATCGATATTGAGATCGGTTGTGATATCGATAGCCAGATCGATTGTGAGATCGATCGAATGAAATAGATCGAGTGAGATCGATTGTGAGATCGATCGAGTGAGATCGATCTTGCGAGACCGATCGTGAGATCGATAGTGATATCGATCGTGAGACCGATCGAGTGAGACGTTTGTTCCTCCCTCCCCCCGAACCTCCTTATCACCCGAAGGATGGTCGTATGGGTATACCTGGATTCCCTTCTCTTCTGTGTCTTTGTAATCTGGGACCCTGCGAACCCCACCCCGTACATGGGACCTCCGCGGCTCTTGGGCCCCAGGAGCCACTTTTGGACGCCCCTGCAGACGGTCCCTCGTGCTTTCCAAAGCTCCCGAAGCCCCTGCTGGCCCTGGGCAGCGGGCCCAAATCGTTCTCCTCCTCCTCCTCCTCCTCATCCTGCTCCTCCTGCCTCCTCCGCCTCCTGTTCCTCCTCCTCCTCCTCCTCCTCCTCCTCCTTCTCGGGGGAGGGAGGAGAACGGAGGGCGGCCCGACGGCCCCGTGAGAGCCCACAGAGGCTCCAGACACCCACCAGACGCCCGAAGGCGACCCAAAGAAGACCCCCAAGAGGCCCGTTGCCATTTTGGCTCAAGGCGCCCTGGCCTAGGACTGACCCCGCGCGGCCCGCGATACCGGTACCTCGTGGTACCCCCAGCAATGGCGAGCGCCCCGCGGGACGCCATGGCCTTCAGCGAGAGGTCCGTGCGGCACGGCTTCGTCCGGAAGGTGTACGGGATATTGGGCACTCAGCTGCTGGTCACCACCGTGCTGGGCGGGGCTGTCATGAAGAAGAGCGAGTCCATGGACCCGGAGATTGGCACCGTCCTGATGTTTCTGTCTTTGCTGGGCTCGGTTGCGACCATGATGGTGTTCTGGTGCTGTCCTCAGGTGATGCGCCGTTCTCCCACGAATTATATCCTGCTGGGGATGTTCACCCTCGCCAAGAGCGTCATGGTTGGCTTCATCTGCAGCCAGTACAGCGAGGAGTCGGTGCTGGTCGTCCTCGGCCTGACGTGCTTCATCCTGGCGGGCCTGACCGCGTTCACGTTCCAGACAAAGTACGATTTTACTGGTTTCGCGTCGTACCTGATGTGCGGATCACTCGTCATGCTCGGCATGAGTTTCGGTCTGATGTTCGGCTCCATCTTCGGTCTTTCGGGCGCGGCCTTCCAGACCGCCCGTCTCTGCATGTGTGGGCTTGGCGCCTTGCTCTTTGCAGCCTACATCGTGTACGACACCCAGATGATCCTTGGGAACAAGCACCCAAACCGCAAGTTCTCGGTTGATGACTACGCCGCGGCGGCCATCATGCTCTACATCGACATCGTCCAACTGTTCCTCTACCTCCTGGAGCTCCTCGGCGACCGCAGGGACAGCCGCGACCGCGGCGTGAGGGGTGCCCGCGCCCGCTTCCAGCCGGTGCGGTAAGCGGGCACAGTTGCGCCAGCCGGGCGTTGGCAGATGTGTTGGCCGCAGTCCAGCAGCGACTGACACCACTTGAGCCAGATACAGCGAGGTCTCACTCGAGCCAGTTTAAGCAGCGCCGTGGCCAGGGCAGCGACACGCATCACAGCGACGTGCGAGCGACAGAGAACAAAAAAGAAACAAGAGGCATTCGGAACGCAAAAGCCATTGCTTTCTTTTGATTTTTGTATGACTTGGGAAATGCTCAGTTCTTCCGTCTTCCGGGCGTCCGAGACTGCCCAGGAGGCCGGAGCATCGCCCCAAATTAACCAAGAGGGCTTCCAGGCAGTCCAAGATGAGTCCCAAGACGGCCCAGCAGGGCCCCAAAATGGCCCGAAGAGAGCCCGATGACGGCCCAAGATGGCTCCAAGACGCCTCCGAATCATTCCAAATCGTGACCTGGTCGTTCAGGGAGACCGCGGCAGGGTGGCCCAGGGAAGCCCCCAGTGGCCCCCGAAGGAACCCAGGAGGCTTCCAGAAGGCCCCAACAAGCCCTTAAACACCTGCGTGAGATTTACAAGAGGCGTTCCCAGGATGAGCCTCGACAAGAAGAGCTGAGGATGGAGGCGAATTCGCAGGGTAGTGCGAGAATGAGGAAGAGGAAGAAGAAACATGAGGGAAGGATAGCACATTACAGTATCATAACGACGATGCCAGAAAAGGCAACAACGAGTTATCGCTAAATGTTCCGCTTTACCTTATTGCCTTCCTGTCTGCATGCCAAGCTTGAAGGACCAAAGTGCATGGCGCGAAGCGCCAATGCAGTCTTGTATACAGTCGGGCCGCTGACTACGGACATTTACTTTTCAAAAGGAGCTCGGGCGTTCCTTAGGTTTGCATGCGTTCCGCTTTTTTGGGGCGGCGAGCCCCCCACTGCCCCTTCGGGCTTCATGGGCTTCTTTGGAAAAACGGGGCCTCGTTCCTTATTTGTCGTTCTTTGGGTCAGCGGCCCGACTGTATGTATGTTTGTATGTATGTGTGCATGTATGTACGTGTATATATGCATGTACGTAGTATGTCTATATATATGTATATAGATATGTGTGTCGGTGGTCCTTTTGTCGAACAGCACGTTCCTTTCGTTCAGTCTATGTGGTGCGAAGCTTTCCTGCCGTTCCCAGTGTGCATCGGCTGGCTTGTGTCACTGCTGTTGTTCGTATTGTTGCAGGTGCTGATGTCTTTGTTTGTATGATCGTTATTTCGATATTCCTCCCTCCATACTGTTTCTTTTTGGAGCATGTTGTCTCTCAGATTCCATCGCGCCCATATTGCGATTATTGAGACGTCGCGTATCCCCACCAGCCCGTCCAAAGACAAACACCGGACGAGTTGCCTTGATCAGGGATGGCTCGCAGCATGTAGTCATGCCCTGGGAGCATATTGGAGTCATCGTGAAGCCCTCTTGGGGTAATTTGAAGGCCTTTGGGGCTCTCTTGTGAGCCTCTTGGTGCCATCCTGGAGGCTATCGATCCAAGAAGGAGGGTTCTCAATTACGTTCCCCCCCTCGGAGGCTGCAACGTCGCCTTTTTTGGTGCTCCTTGGGCGCTCTTGGGCAGCCTTGGGGCCATCATGGGCTCTCTTGTGTCCCTCTCGGGGCTCTCTTGCGCCATCTTGGAGCCATCTCGAGGCATTGAAAGGCCATTTGAAGCGAAGTGTCAAGAAGACCCAAACCATTTGTTTTTCCTTCGATGTTGTCAGATTGTGGGGTTCTATGGGTGTTTTGGGGCCTCTTGGAGGCATCATGGTGGCCATAGACATCTTGGGGTACATGGAGCCATCTTGGAGGCCATCTTGGGCTCTCTGAGGCCATTGTCGAGCCAGGTTGGCCCACACATCCAATAATGCCCCCGATGTGCCGAAATCTATCTCAACATAATTGTGTACCAATGCTTTTGGTTTTGTACGCATTGGGGGGGCTTCTTTCGCCCTCCCCCCCACGGAGGAGGCCGAACAATTTCCTCATGGGGCCTTGCCTTGGGCCCTTCTTGGGGCTCGCTTGAGCCATATAGCCATCTAGAGGCCTCAGAAGCTCATCGGAATTAAAAAGGCGAGAAGGCATAAAACATGGATGCCCCCCAGGTTCTGGAGGGACGCTGGCTTCCCGGGAGGGCCCTGGAATGCTTTCGTGGCCATTGGGAGCAGTCTTGGAGCGGTCCTGGGGCCTCTTGGACGTAAGCGGGAAGCTATGTTGAGCCATCTTGGTCATTTCGTGCGCTCTTGGAGGCCATCTTGGGCTAGACAGTCGGCGCTAAGGAACCCAGAATAAGGAACGAGGCCCCTTTTGTCCATAACTGAACTTCGATTTCCCATCGGAACGTAAGAAAAACCGAAGGCAACCTGTGAAACAGCTACGGAACAGTGAGCCCCTCCCAAACGAAAAGGGTTCCTTCTTCAGCGCCCCGACTGTATGTCGGGCCTTCTCGGGGCCTTCTCGGGGCCATCTTGGGCGCTCCGACGACCTGCGGAGCGCCTCCTCCAGAACCGCGGAGAGAGGGTAGAGTAGGGGTCTTGAAGAAGGAACCCTCGTTGGGGAGGTGCTCGTGTTCCTTGATCGTTTCACAGCTTGCCTCAGGTTGCCCCCAGGTTTTCGATGGGGGATCGAAGTTTAATGTTTATGAGAAAGGAGGGGTTTTGTTCCTTATTCAGGGTTCCTTAGGTCAACGCCCCGACTGTAGGGGGAGAGGCAAAGTTCCTCCCCCAAGGCAACGAGGAGGTTGGAAAAGCTAACTGCCTAAACCGTCTGCGCTGGTGGGATTCTCCGCTGCCCCTCGCTCAGGGCGTGCACATGGCCCCCCTTCCAGCCCCTATGTGTCCGTTTGCTCCTTGATATCCTCGCCGCAGATGACGACATCCCAATCCTGATTAGCCAGGACTTCGCGATCGTCGCAACTGTTTCTGTTGGGACCGGCCGCGCTGTGCCATGCCTTTCGCGTGAGTCCACCGCGCTTGTGTCATTGCTCTTCACCCTCGTCCGACTGCTGACCAATCCCGGCGGATCGTTCGTTTCTTTCAACCGCCGTGTAATGATTCGGCTCCCATGTGAACGAGGGAAACTAAATTGAGAGGCGCGCCATACATGCACTCGACCGCGCAATTTCCAAAGCAAGGAAGGCGGCCACAGCCATCCGTGTTTTGCAATGTTAGCAGAATTCATGTTCGACGAACGTGAGCATTGCACGTCACGTTGCTTTCACATATGTGTTGCGTTTCCTCGTCGGCGCGTCAACCCCAGCTCGTCCGACAGTGTTAATGGCGTCGCCAATTTGCGCAGGGATGGCGTATTTTCTTGCCCCGTTGTTTGGGGCCCAGTACATTGCCGTGACAAAAGTACTATGCGGTCTTCATTCAACATGACTCAAGACTGGCGGAGTAAACGGAGTGGGCGGAGTAGAAATTACTCCGCGTGGACATGCATCCCGTCCCATTTTTCATATAGGAATGGGCGGAGTAATTTCCGATCCTGTTTTGAGATAACAATGTTATTAATTAGAGGTAGACGAATCACTCCGCGGGATCGCGGAGGACGCATGTCAATGTTAGGAATCTTCAGAGGGATGGGAGATTCCAACATATCATAAAACCGCATAATATTTTGTCACGGCGGTGTAGTTCTGTGGACGTCGAACGAAGAGAAGTGCCACTGCTGTCCAGGAGCGCTTTGTTGGCACAGGCACACTACCAGCACGCCTAGCGTGGAGCAAAATAAAGCTCTGCGACTGGCGCGTGTCCATTCAAACTGATTGGTAGATATTTGTAGATGTGGCCTTCGGCCCATCCCGGTACCACTGAGGAGGAGGCACCACTGAGGTGGAGGCATGTTATCACACAATTTGTCTGCCTCGCTTGGATGCCATGCTGGCATGCCGTGCTGGTTGTCGTTGCTGGTCAGGTCTGCCCTGCTGGTCTGCTTGCGGCACGTGCAGGGTCCTCCCAGAGGCTCTCGGGGGCGTCCTCTTGGGACCTCTGGAGGGGTCTCTTTGGGGGTCTTCGGGGGGTCTCTTGGGGGGCCGTGTTCCCAACCGTGTTCCTGGGGCCCGTTCGGTTCCCTCTTCTGGGCCCCCTCTTGCGGCGGCGTTTGGGATTCTTGGGGCAACTCTTTTGGGACCCCCGGGGCCGTCTTGGAGCCATCTTGGAGGTCTCTCGGGCCGTCGTGGGTGCTTCTGGAAAAGAACAAGCGATACTGCTTCACATGCTTCCGGGTTTGGGGACGGTCTGTATGTTTTCGAGCTCATTCTGGGGCCTCCAGGTCGGCTCAAGACACTCCTAAGGGGGTCCCACAGGGGCCCCTGGGACGATCTCGGCGCATGTGTGAGGCTTGGAGTCCCAACCACGATTCCAAGGCCTTGGGAACAGGCACCAGGAGAGCCCAGGAACGCCTAGGAATCGGGGATCGGGGGCCTTTTCAGAGAGTTCCAACCCTTGGAATTCAATGCTGAGGATTACGCTACGCGGGACCTGGGTCCACTCCACTGCGCACGGTGGAGAATTTAGGCAAGCAGCTAGCGGTGCCAGTCAACAGCAAACAAGTAGCGTGACGAGGGACCCAACCCCTAGCAGCTTCATATCACATGTAGCGTTGGTGACGGACCTCTGTGCGCACTGCACGTATGAAGGATCAGCAGCAGGATGAGGAAGGCTTGGTGGGAGAGGAGGGGAAGAGGAGGAGGAGGAGGAGGAAGAGGAGGAGGAGGAGGAGGACGAGGACGAGGACGAGGACGGGGACGAGGACGAGGACGATGAGGAAGAAGAGGGAGAGGGAGGATAGTGGAAAGAGCCCGTGGAACTGTTGGAGGCCTGGGCCTACAGGCTCCAGAGTCACACCACAGAAGAGGATCGACCAGCAGAAGTGTACCAATCTGCGGCGAGCACCCCCTTATTATGCTGGCCTGGCAGACCTCAAAAATGGCGACGGCGTCGCAGATCGCAGCTTTCCAGAGAAGGCGGAGTCCTAGCTTGAATCTGCGGCGAGTACGCATTATGCTGGCCCCCCAGCAGCCCTCGAACGTGGCGACAGTTTCACAGATCGCAGCCCCCCTTAGATGGCGGGGTCTAGTCTAAGTCTGCGGCGAATGCCCACTATGCTCCCCAGCAGCCTTAGCAAGTGGTGACAGTTTCGCAGATCGCAGCTCCCCAGGGATGGCAAGGTCTGATCTGAGTCCGCGGCGAGTGCCCACTATGCTGCCCCAGCAGCCTTCGAACGTGGCAGCAGTTTCGCAGGATCGCAGCCCCCACACGGATGGCGAGGTCTAATTTGAATCTGCCGCGAATGCCCTTTATGTTGCCCCCCCCCCCCGCAGCCCCCGAACGTGGCGACAGTTTCAAAGATCGCAGCCCCCCAGGGATGGCGAGGTCAATTCTCAATCTGCGGCGAGTACCCCCTTTGGTGGCCCCCCCCCCGCAGCCTTCGAAAGCGGCGACAGCTTCACAGATCGCAGCCTTCCAGGGATGGCAGAGTTTTATCTGAGTCTGCAGCGAGTACCCACTATGCTGCGCCCCCCAGCGGCCCTTGAAAGTGGCGACAATTTCGCAGATCGCCCCCCCCCAGGGATGGCGAGGTCAAATCTCAATCTGCGGCGAGTACGTCCCATGCTGGCCACCCCCGCAGTGGCGACGGCTTCGCAGATCGCAGCCTTCCAGAGATGGCGGAGGCTAACCTGGATCTGTGGCGAGTGTCCACTGTGCTACCCCCTCCAGCAGACCTCGAATGTGGCGACAGTTTCACAGAACGCAGCCCCCCAGGGATGGCGAGGCCTAATCCGAATCTGCAATCTGCGGCGAGTGCCCACTATGTTGCACCCCCCCGAGCAGCCCTCGAAAGGGGCGACAATTTCGCAGATCGCGGCGCCCCAGGGATGGCGAGGTGTAATCTGAGTCTGCGGCGAGTGCCCACTGTATTGGCTCCCCAGCAGCCTTCGACAGTGACGACAGTGTCGCAGATCTCAGCGCCCTACGGATGGCGAGATCTAATCTGAGTCTTCGGCGAGCACCCACTATGAGGCCTCCAAGCAGCCCTCGAAAGTGGCGACAGTTTCGCATATCGCATCGCCCCAGACGCCTCCCAGGTAAAAGGCAGGACAGCGCACCAGCAACGAGAGAAGAGGAGCAGCGGAGATAAGAGGAGGGAGGAGAGGAGGAGGGGTGCGGGAGGACGGAGACCACAGTGCTCTATTCAAAACGAGTGCCCAACGTAGGAGGGTTGGGAAAAAGGATTGTGAGTTTGAGGAGGGGGGGCATGGAGGAGGGGAGGAGGAGGAGGGCAGGGGGCAAGGAGCAAGCAGGTGACAAGGACAACCAAGGTGATGACCACCCCAGGCAGGACGGGGGCAGACGACAGAAAATTCGACGACACGAGAATGCTGCGGTGCCCCTGTGCCAACTGTTGCTGGAAGGGGAGGTGGGCAGTTGCAATTCCTTCACAAGGGTGAATGCCAGCGCCGAGTAACATCAAATCTACGTGGTTTTTTTTAAAGCCACGTGTGGACACTCTGGACGGGCTCGTGAACAGCCGAGCAGACGACCGGATCAGCCAGGCAGGTAACACCAAGACCAGGATCAATTTTAGATTTCGTTTGGCGCATTTGGCCCAACCGCTGTCACAAGTGAACAGAGGCGCATGTAAAGTATTTGTCCGTGCGTGGGTCAGAGTTGACCGTCGGCCAGCCGCTGTAAAGCAGCTCGCACGCACACACATATCATAGGTTCCCGGAAGTGGAGGCTAGTGCCCCCCGCCCTCCCTGCTCTCGACACTATTGAGGCTCAGCGGAGCGACCAGCTGGGACATCTCCTCACCACCGCACTTGCCAGTCGACCAGCACCGCTTTACTGCATAGACTCGCACACTGATTAGTCTTGCGTGGGATATCACACAGGCATGTCGTGAGCAGCTTAAGAGAAGAAGTTGGAGGAGGAACGGAAGGAGGAGGAGGAGGGGAAATAGAAACGAGAAACGGGAGGAGCAGGAGGAGGAGGAGGAGGAGGAGGAGGAGGAGGAGGAGGGGAAGAAGGAGAAAGAGCGGAAGCAGGAGGACGAAGTGGAGGTGGAGAGGGATTGGAGAGCGAGAGGGGCAGGGGAGGGCCGGGCGCGCGCTCCAGGACGCCCGCCCAGAATTTCCGGTGCCTGCTGGACTCCGGCAGCGCAGACTTGTGGCGCCCGCGCGCCCCGACGACGGGGCGGGCGGGCAGGGGGTGGGGAAGCGGAAGGGGGGCGGGGGGGCAGGGGGGGCGAGGGGAGCGAGGAGGGGGGGGGAGAGGGAGGGGGGCTGGAAGAAGGGGGAGGGCGGAAGGGAGAAGGCGGGGGGGGGATCCACGCCCTGCAGGGGAGGGGGGGGGATACTGTCCCCTTGGGAGCCTGCTTGAGTTCTCCGGGCCATCTTGAGGTCGTGCAGCCGACTTGGGGCAGTTTTGGGATGAGCGTTGGACGGTCTCGGAGCTGTAGGCAAGAGCGGCTGTGGATAATGGGAACAAGCGACGATGAACAATGCCCTCCCCCCCTCTCCCTAGGCCCCAGGGGGCTCAAAATAATTGAGATGGGCAGACGAATAAAATCCAGCCGCCAGAACTGATTTTTTCATCATCTGCCCCCCCGGCAACTTTTCTGCCGTCGCCGTCTTCATCGTCGCCGTCGTCGACAACAGAGGGCCTACGCAGCACCCCCCCACCCCCCAATGGCATCCGAAGTGCGTCGTCGTCATCGTCGCCGTCATTGTCCGGTCGTCCGTCGTCGTCGTCCTCGTCCTCATCTTCGTCCTCGCAGTCGTCGTCGTCGTCGTCGTCGTCGTCGTCGTCGTCGTCGTTGTCGTTGTTGTTGTCGTCGACTACACCGGGCCTGCGCAGCACCCCCCCACCATAGGGCATCCACAGTGCGTCGTCGTCGCCGTCGTCGTCCGTCGTCCTCGTCCTCGTCCTCGTCCTCATCCTCGTCGTCGTCGTAGTTGTCGTCGTCGTCGTTGTCGCCGTCTTCGTCGTCCTCCTTCTGGTCGGCGCAGTCGTCCGTCGTCGTCCTCGTACTCATCCTCGTGCTCGTCGTCGTTGCGTCGTCTTCGGCGTCCGCCATCCTCGTCCTCGTTATCATCCTCTTCCTCGTCGTCCTCGCCCTCGTCGTCGTCGTTGTTCTCGTCGTCGTCGTCGTCGCCCTCCTTCTGGTCGTCGCGGTCGTCCTCGCGGACGGCCGCGGCGACGTAGCAGCACGAGGAGGAGGAGGAGGAGCAGGAGGAGGAGGAGGAGGAGGAGAATGAGCAGGAGGAGGAGGAGGAGGAGGAAGAGGAGGAGGAGGAGGAGGAGGAGGAGGGGGAGGAGGAGGAGGAGGAGGAGAATGAAGAGGAGGAGGAGGGGAATGTGGAGGCGGAGGAGGAGGATGTCAAAACATATTATGCTTCAAGGGTATGGTTCGCAAACTTTTGGCGGCCTCGTGGGCCCCCACCCCGGCCCCCAAACAGCCCGGGATTGTCCGCCCTTCGTCAGCCTACTCCCTCTATTGCGGGAGAAGACAGGCCAGCGAAAGTATTGTTTAATCGTCCGCCTCAGATATTAACCGTTGGCTTCCGTTGCTTTGGACTTGCTGATGTGGCCGTTTGTACCATTCGGTGGGGATTAACACATGTTTGTTGTCCAACCCTGGGGCGATACGTTGCAAGGCGCCTTCGTATCGTTCGCCTTTTGTTCCTCCTTCCCTCCCCCTCCTCCCGCTCCTCCCCTCCAGGCCATGGCGCAGGACGCATGGCTGCACGCATTTCCGCCCCGCCGCCGTGCTCCCGCAGCCGCCTTGCGCGGCCACAGGGTCGGCGAGAACCTGTTGCGGTGTCCTCCCCCCCATCCGCACTCCTCTCCGTCTGGCCGCCTCCCTCCTGGGTTTCACGCCTCCCGCATCTTCGCCTGCGCGTTTCAAGTGGCACGCTCAGGGAGTTCACGCTTGCTCTGTCGTGCTCCAGTGTCGCGGGAGGGAGATAGGGGGGGGAACCTGGCTGTGGATAGCGACTGCTGCTGCTACCCAATGCCTCCGGGCCTGTGCTGGTACGAGCCTTCAGTCATCCTGCCAAAACTTGAAGTCAGAACGATGTTCAAATGATGTGCCAGAAGGGTTGCCAGGAACTTAGGAGGTACGAGCGTATTTCCTTTTGTTTGCATGCCGATCTGAGACATCGCGCTGTTTTTTGTTTGTTTGTAGAACGTCAGCATACCTGCACAGTAGAAACCAGTAGACGTCAGTTTTGAATTGTTGACGGCTTCGGACTGGGGGCCAACATGTTTGGATCTTTTAGGGGGTGAAATGCCCCGCTGCCTGCGACACCCCCTGCCGCCGTGCTTGTGCAACAGCGCAGCAGTAAGGATATTGGATATAGGAACAGCGCTATTCCGACGATTGTTCTGAACTGAGACGGGTCATGCATTTGACCTCGTCCTCGTCCGCGCGGTAGGGTGGAGGTCGAGTTCACGTCCCGCTGCAGTTGGGTAGTCGGTCCGAATTTAATTGAGGCGGGTCGTGAGTTTGACCTCCTCTTCGTCCGCGCGGAAGGGAGGAGGGAAAGGAGGAGGAGGAGGAGGAGGAGGAGGAGGAGGAGGAGGATTTTTTGGGTCAGCCCTCCATCCGGCCAGGGTGTGTGCAGCGGCGTGGCGGGCGCAGCGGCGGGGCACAGTGGAGCCCTGAATAGGGCAAGGCGTGCCGAGGTCAGCAGTGGCGCGGGCTTTTTCTGGGTGGAGCCCACGATCCAGCTTCGTAGGGGGCCACATGCGAACCCTGCCCCTACCCCCCACGATTTCTGAGGGGGAGGGACGATTTCTGAAGTGAACCCCACCCTCCCCCTGAGAAATCGTGGGGGGTAGGGGCAGTGTTCGCATGTGGCCCCCGACTTCGTCCACGGACTGCAGTGGCACGCGCGCTCGTTTGGCCTGCGAGGCTCGAGCCGAGGTGGCCAGCCTGGCACCAGACGTCATGTACTACCACGGCGCTGGCAGACGCACAGAACGGGGCCGTCGGATCAGTCTATGGCCACACAGCGGTGCCGTTTTTAAGACATGCTCCGCGTGCGGACCACGTATTAAACATGCAGGGATTTGGTATTAAAAACAACGATGAGTTCATGCATAAATTTATTCATACATTAATCATGTATTAAACATCCTACATGTGTAAGCATCCTATGTATTAACAAATCTTCCCTGTAGCCAGCCTGGCACCAGACGTCATGTACTACCACGGCGCTGGCAGACGCACAGAAGGGAGCCGTCGGATCAGTCTATGACCACACAGCGGTGCCCGAGCTCACGGAGGGGCCGCGGGCTGCACGCGGTGAAGAAGGGGAGCAGGATCCGCCCGCCAGCAGACGCAGCGAGTTGCCCCCTCCTGCCTCTCTAAAGCAAGCAACGCACGGCCAACAACTGCCCACCCAGTGCCACCTGTGGGGAGTGATCGACGCCTGCGGAAGCGCAGGCGGGGCAGCAATACGCTGGACGTGAGGAGGAGGAGGAAGAATAATGGTAATCGCGATCCAATAGGACGACGCGCCGAGTTCGCATCGGGACGGAGCGGAGCGGCCGGAAAAGACGAGAGAGCGCAATCGAACACAGGAACGTGCGGGACCCCAGAGCATTGAGAGCCCAGCCGACGCTTCACGGCAGTGACAGGAGGACCCTTGGGCGGAAATCCAGAATCGGCCAAGCCGAAGTCCCAGATCCGAAACATTACGAATTTCAATATGGAGTGAGCTCAGCAGCTCAAGATATGGAAAGCAGCCCGGGCCACTGGACAGTGTCGTCTGTGACGTGGAGCTGGCGAAGAATGGGGAGGGGAGGAGCCTCATCACCCTTGGGGTGAAGGCCCTTCATGAACCTATCCCTCCGCCATAGCCTCTGGGGGGTAAGAAGTGCAGCCTCGGGGTCACATTCCCAAAATAGCTGGGTTCGTGCCGTCCTGGCCGAGAAAGCCACACACCTGCTGCACCCCACGAGATCCCCAGAGACGTACAAAGCATGGCCCCGCGCACTCTCGGGAGGGACTTCCCCAGAGCGCGGCAACGGGGCCTTCGGCGCCACCGCATCGGCCCTCGATGGTGGCGTACCCCGACACGCGCGCTTCGCACCACGCGAGGACGCGGCCGCAACGGCCCCGTTGACGGCCTTCTGAGGCCGCTCGGGCCCCTCGAGGACCTCCGCAAAGCGAACCTCCGTTCGAGGCGCGACGGGGACAGGTGGCGGTGGCGCAGCGGAGAAGGAGGCCAGAGGGGAGGAGGGGTCAGGAGGAGCGGGGGACGGGGAACGCTTGGACCAAAAGTCCCGGCGATGATGATGATGATGATGATGATGATGATGATGATGATGATGATGATGATGATGATGATGATGATGATGATGATGATGATGATGATGATGATGATGATGATGATGATGATGATGATGATGATGATGATGATGATGATGATGATGATGATGATGATGATGATGATGATGATGATGATGATGATGATGATGATGATGATGATGATGATGATGATGATGATGATGATGATGATGATGATGATGATGATGATGATGATGATGATGATGATGATGATGATGATGATGATGATGATGATGATGATGATGATGATGATGGTGATGGTGATGGTGATGGTGATGGCCCGCTCTCTGGGGCGGGGGTTGCAGGTCGAAGCCCCTAGGAGCATCCTCGGCCCTGCCAGGACGGCGCCCACCCGTGGAGGAGGAGGAGGCGAGGGAGCCCAGGAGAGAAGGAGGCTCAGTAGTCGGGGTCGAAGGACGAGGAGGAGGTACTACCCGAGGTCTTACCACCCTGTGATATTCATCCTCGACGGCGATGTCCTCCAGGCGACGACGACGACGACGACGACGACGACGACGACGACGATCGGCACCAGTTTGCATCGATTCGCCAGGCCCTAAATGGCCATCGATGTCGCGAGGAGCCCGTCTTTGACTCCAGCGCACGACCGCTTCGACTTGGATCGCTCTTCCGAGCCTCCCTGGTCCTCCGGAGGTCGGTTGCCCGCGGAAGCGACGTCTTTGGGCGGGGCCAGAAACGCCCTCATGGGACACATCTCACGCTGAAGCTTCTTGAGGCCCTTGCGGTTTCGAGCGAAGCGAGGGCAGTGGCGACACCGCCATCCCGATGACGCGATGACTCGCGCGTGAAACTT